TTGAAAATGACTTTTTTGAAATGTTGCAACTTTGAGAAACAACCAGAACCGTTTCAAAGGTTGCAAACTTTCATTAATGGTCATGTGGATTCTGAAAGGATTGCAACCTTTTGGAACCTGTTCCTCTTGCCTAAATATCAAGTCATTCTTCAGAATTTTTCCTTACGAATTTTTGATTTCTTCTTCTTCTTCTGCATAAAAGTTTCTTCGTGTACTTTACTGTTGTTGAGTGGTTTATTGACACCAGAGTTTTGGATATCAATACGTTGGTGATGAAGATCATTCTATCGTGGGAGGACATATTCAAAATCAAGCGTCGGATACTAGAGGGGAATAATTTCCTTAAGGGGACACTTTGCATTCAGTGGGCTTGATCTTTTCCTTTTCTAATTTTTTAGATTCTAGTACGTTTACAGATTTTAGTTTTTTGTGAATTAATTTATGTTCATCTTTCTTACTGATTTCTTAAACTTTGGTAACTTCGTATTTCTGCAAAGTTTTATTGGAATCAGTAATTCTGTTCTCCAAACACATATTGGCAACACTTCCAACTTTGAGTTGCACAAGTAGATACTTAAAAGGGAAAAGGGTCTGACATACCCCTCAACTTTGCCATTTAGAGCTGATATCCTCTCGTTATAAAAGTGGCTTATATATACCCCTACTTGTAAACAAATGACTCACATATATCCTTTTCCTCTAACGGAAATGAAAAAATAATAATTTTAATCTAAATTTTTATTATTTTTTTAATAAAAAATATAATCCCATATGAGTAAATTTAATCCTCGTCAAACATATTTTTTCTGACTTTTTTTTGTTTCAATGACCAATTTATAATTATTATTTTGATAATCATATTTATTTATGTTTCACTAATATTCTTGTAAAACTTATTGTAAATGACCAAATTTTATCATCGAATACGAAATTAAATTACAATACACAAAAAAACCTCAAAATATTGGTCAAATAATTCACCTTTTTTTTCTTTTAAAAGAGAAGTAAGCACTTTCAAAAAGAAAAAGAAAACACTTTGTTAGAATGTCTGCGTCCACTATCAGTCAATGGACCAGGTCCCTTGACACACAAATATGGATATAACAAAAAGTAAATGTAGTTTAACAACAGAGGAGTTTTACGTGGAAACCTCCTTGCTCAAGGGAGTAAAATCACGACTTGTCTCACAGGATTTTCACTATACCTTGAACTTTGATAGAAGAATCATATATACCCCTAAATATTTTTTTAAAAAAAATTAGAAGTAACAAATATAAATTTAAAACTAATTTTTTAACTTCCGTTAAATGAAGGGTATATGTGAGCCATTTTGTAACGGCAGAGGTATATGTGAGCCGTTTGTATAACGGTAAGGGCATATATGAGCCACTTTTATAACGAGGATATATCAGCTCTAAATGACAAAGTTGAGGGGTATATCAGACCCTTTTCCCTACTTAAAATTATATAAAATTAAGAAATAGACGCATTCATCCTATGTGAAATCCTAAATGACCATTTTGTGTCCTATGTATGTGTATTATGGCATGCGGGACGTGTGTGTCTACTTGTTTATTTCATACAAATTTAAGCATCTATTTATGCACGCCCCAAAACTTCTTGTGAAAAAATTAATTGTGTGGTTAAGGAATTGATCAATTAGTAGAAGACTTTAATTATAACTCAAATACCTCTTTGATCAATTCAAATTCATTTCAATTAAACAAATGCTAATTGTGCTGGACTAATTCTTTTGTACTTGATGTGTCCTTTTAATTATCCATCTTATAATTGATTAAGCAAACATCCAACGTAATCTTTGAACAAATCAAATGGAATTAGGTTGACAATATGAGTTTCCAACACTATAAATACCACAATTTCAATTATGTATTTCCTCACCAAGAAATCAACAGAAAATAAGAGTTATGACAAAGTACACTACTTTTCTCGCTCTCCTCCTTTGCCTCTTCCTTGTTGCTGCAACTGGTGAGTCGACATGATTCAATATCTATCAAATATAATGATTTGTTTAAGTTTACGAATTTTTAAATATTCATTTTTAATAAACTTTATGACTAGTCAAACATGTTCTATAAGTGAAATTTACTATGACAAGTACATACCATTATTTTTCAATATTTTTCATTATTGCAGAAATACAAATGGCAGAAGGGAAATATTGTTGGAAAAAAAGTGGCAAGTGGAATGGGCCTTGTCAATACTCTTACAAATGCAGTCATCATTGCAAGTACTACTATGGAGCTAAATATGGTATTTGTAAGAAGTACAAACCATGGGGTCACAAATATTACTGGGCAAAATATGCTTGCTACTGTTACTCACCTTGCCACTACTAAGAATATTTCAGTATCTCATGGCTTGGTTTTTATTATGTAAACAAATAATTAAGAAACCTATTTTATGTGTGTAACAATGTAGTAAGGATGATTTATGTGTGCAACTATTTTGCCCAAGCTTTGCTTGATGAATAAATGTATTGTGTTGTATCCAATTATTCTCAAAATTGACCTATAGCTCACTTATGTCTGTGAAAAACGTGTGTGGAATTGGAATCCCTAATGAAACTTGGTTTGGTTTTGGACAATAAAGTGTAGAAGATTTAAATTTGACCATCAACACTTCCATATAAAACACAACATTGATGCTATTGAGACTTATGTTAGATGTTTGTAGAAATATGTTGGATTAACTAGGACACAATCGCAAGCAAAGAAAATAAATAATAAAATTAACACAAGAATTTAGCGAGGTTTTGCTAGGCCTAATTCTTCGAGCAAAAGCAAAGAGAGTTTTCTACAATGAAAAAAAAGAAAGAAAAGGTGTATAATGTTTTCGAGCTTCAACTAGATAATATAGTCTAGAATAAAAATTATATTATTGATCATCCGATGTCGAAAGAGAAAACAAATTAATTCCTCTTCATTTAAGGAACATGTCAAATCTTAGATAAATCTAGCAAACATTCTGAATTTGATATTAACAACGCCCTTTACCTCTAATAAATTATAATCACATCGATTAACAATCTTACTTGTCTGTTTGTATCTTGCAAATCGATTCTTGTGTGGACACATGTAAACAATTCATCAGAATTTGTTTCGAATATAACTACAATGGAGGACCCATGTGATAAGATGTCACATTACATTTGGGTAGAAGAGGGAACTAGTCAATTAGGGTTTATGCTATGAATTTGTCTCTTATTTCTTTGTTACTTAGATTAATGTGGAACCTCCCTCCATTCTCCCTTTTCATTGCTACTATTTGGAGCAATTGGAATTACAAACTCTACGTGTAATTCCAATTATCCATTTCAATACAATATGAGTTCATTACAAAATTCACATCTTTAACTTTTTCTACAGTCATTGTCATCTAAATTATTAATTATTAGTACCTTAGTTGCCTTTCATATCCCCTTGTAGTTAACACAAAAAATAATCTCCTTCTAATCTTCCACATATTGAAACTACATCCTCCATCAAATTTCTATATCTCATACTTTAATGAAGATGATGATGAAATCTTAATTAACCCTTCATTTTGTGCTAAAATTCTAACATGGATATGATATCAATTAATTGTTGAGAAAATATGATGGATTAACTAGAACACAGTCACAAATAAAGAGAATATAACGTGATTATGTAATGATTTTCGACTAAGTTTAATCCTCCAAGCAAAGGCAAACATCACCAAATCTATAAGGAAAATGTTCTTCCATTCCTAAGGGACAATATATTTCATTCCTAAATCCATTGAGCCTCATTTGCTTGCACTTGTTTTTTATTCGTCATTGACGAATTATTCATTAGAATCGACATTAGAAATCTAGTAGTAGTATTTTTTTTAATTATTTCAATTGAATTTATTTCTATTGAGGAGCTGAATTTTAATCATTCAGATTCGCATCATTAAGTATGTTTGTTTATGAGAACTGAATCTTAATTATTCAGATTCAGTTCGTTAAGTTTGTTTGTTTTATTTCTTTATAAGTCTCTTAATGGGTCTGAATATATTTGAATGAATCTGATCCGCAACACAGTCTTAACACCATTACTCATAGCTTAATTCAACTACATCACAACAACTCATATAAGTTGTTTTCTTATTTAATTAATGTTAATTAGATGTTTACCGTTACAATTTCCTTTATTCTTATTAACTTAATATATCCCTTTTACTTCTTCATAAATTAATCAATATATTTGAATTGATAAGCACTCCATGATGTAATATTTAACACGGTTCCAAAAAATATGAAAGTTCTAACTATTTGATCGATAACGATTAATAACAAATGTCTATTATAAAATAAAACGTTTCATAAACATTATATTACTACTCTATATAAACTCATTTACATAGCATTATATTAGATTCTAAAAGTTTTTGAGTGGAAATAATAATCATAATAATGATGTAACTTAATGTTAAATTCATAATGGATAAATCATATTACCTTGTGATAAAAATGTTTGAAATATTATTTTCTACATAAAAAAATTATTTTACTAAAATGAGATTTTTATAATATTTTATTGATTTAGCGTTTAATTTCAGATATTAAAAATAAACAGCCTCAATAATTCAGTGTTTAGATTCAAAGAATGTATATTTGGATTCAAACGTTCGAACTTTACTTGGTGTTTGATATCACAAAAGCTCCATGTATTTATACAAACAAATGGTGAACTCATAAAAGCAATTTGTGGAGATATAGAATTGATCAATTAGTAGAAGACTTTAATTATCACTAAATAATGGGTCTTTGATCAATTCAAAATTCCTTTCAATTAAATAAATGCTAATTCATGTGTTAGACTAATTCTATGTGCTTGATGTGTCCTTTTAATTATCCATCTTATAATTAATTAAGCAAACATCCAACGTAATCCTTGAACAAATCAAATGGAATTTAGTTGACAATATGAGTTTCCCCACACTATAAATACAACTATTTCAATTGTTTGTTTTCATTACCAAAAAATCAACAGAAATTAAAATAAGAGCTATGGCAAAGTACACTACTTTTTTAGCCCTTCTCTTTTGCCTCTTCCTTGTTGCTGCAACTGGTGAGTCAACATGATACTATAGATACCAAATATAATGATTTGTTTGGACATTATAAATTTTCAAAATACATTTTTCTTATTAAATTTTGTGGCCAGTCAAACATGATTATATAGCTACCATATATAATAATTTTTTTAAAATTACGAATTTTTAAAATATTTGTTGCTGTTTTATAGGAAATAAAATTTGTTTAGAAATTATAGTAAATTTGCTATCTCAAGTACATACCATGATTTTTCAATTTTCTCATTTTTGCAGAAATACAAATGGCAGAAGGAAAATACTGTTGGAAAAAGAGTGACAAGTGGAATGGACTTTGCTACTACTCTTACAAATGTAGTTATCATTGCAAGCACTACTATGGAGCTAAATATGGTATGTGTAAGAAGTATAAACCATGGGGTCACAAATATTACTGGGCAAAATATGCTTGCTACTGTTATTCACCTTGCCACTACTAAGAATCTTTCAGTGTCTCATGGCTTCGGTTTGACTATGTAAACAAATAATTAAGAAGCTACCTATTTAATTTTATGTGTGTAACAATGTAATAAGGCTTATTCATGTGTGAAACTATGGCCAAGCTTTGTGTGATGAATAAATGTATTGTATATTTTTCAATGAGTATTAATTGATTTGAACTATGGTGTTTTTCTATATGAATATTTGTTGTGTAAAGTATCATGCAAGGCTAAGCTAAAATGAATAATAACTACATGACTCCACATACATATATATTTATCACGCCCCAAGCCTAGACTCTATGCAAGATCAATACTCATGAATATCATTGTTGGTCCGATCATACCCATAATATAGCATTAGGCATGTCATACATCTAGACATGAACGAAAATATAGCTTAAAAGCATTCGAAGGGAAATCATGTATATGAAACACTTTTTATTAATGTAAATCATATTAACGAAATCACCGATAAAGGACTCAGAGGTCAAAGTGAAGCATAACTAGCTATCTACATACCTATGAAACCTTTAAATATAACTGAGTACTGACTTAATGACTATCATTAATGGAGGTATGCCACCATGAATTTGAATCTTTCAAAATAAAAAATACATGCATTAGTAAACAACATCCACTACTAGAAAACAACAATAATATGACCAAAATGACAATAAAAGAATCACTTTTAATTAATGTAAGTCATAGTACTAAATCACTATGACTTTTGAAGAACATAGATGTCGCTTTTAAGGTTTTAGAATTTGGGGTGTGTTTGGTATAGGAAAATGTTTTTTTAGTAAATGTTTCTTGGAAAATAAGTTGATTTTTAACTTATTTTCTTGTTCTTGGTTGGCTAGGGGAAAATGTTTTCCAAAAAATATTTTCTACTGTATAATTGGTGAATAAAACATACTTTTTTAGAAAACATCTTTAATTTTTAGCTACAACGTAGATTTTTTTTTCTTTGAAACAAACCTCGATAGTCGATTTGTCATTCAACCCCGACCCTGACTCGAGACCTGACCCAAGACCCAACCCCGCGTCAAGATTTGACCTCGATCTTGGCTCGAGACCTGACTTCTACTTCGACTTGAGATCCACACTCAAGACCTCAATCCCGAGATCCGATGCGACTCGAGATCTGGCTACAATGCTAGCCCTTACCTGAGACTCGACCCTAACCCTAACCCAAGATTCGATCCCAACCACAACCTGAGCCTAACCTTGATCGAAGATCAAACTCTAACTCTAACCCGACCCGACCTGACCCGACCCAAGACCTACACCAAATCTCAACCGAGACCTGAACCCAACCCTAAGCTTAACCTGAGACCCCGACCCTAGCTCGAGACCCAACCCTGACCCTAATTAATTCAAGACCCGAGTGCACTCGAGACTCGACATATAGATCCAAGTCCGATCCTGAGACCTTGACCCCTGCCCGATTCTGACTCCAATTTGAGACCCAACCTCGACCTTGACCTAAGACCTAACCTTGACCTCGACGCTCAATTTTCAAATTTTGAACCTTGATTTGACATTGACGCCCGAATCGAGACCCGGAACTAAGACTCCAACTTAAGATCCGACGTCGACTCGATACACGGCCCACCTCCAACTTAATTAAGATCCAGCCTCGACCCAAGACCCTAACTTGTGACACAACCCTCACCCGACCCCAACCAAATCCTTGACTCCGACCCAAGATCTGGCCCTGACCTGAGACCCGATACCCTTGTTTTTACTTATTTATGTTTGACGATTTTATTTTATTATTAATAAGAGGTTGTTTAGTGGTATAAATTTGTTTTTTTTTAAAAAAAAAGGAAATTTGTCCAAGTAGAATTGCAATTGCTAATGTGACTTGGTTTAGCTTTGTAACTTGTTTTAGCTTTGAAGACTAAAATTTAGAAGATTTGACCATCAATAATTCCATATAAAGCACCACATTGATGCTATGCAGACTAACTATAGCTATTCCACACACATTAAATTATTCTTGAAAAGTAGTAGTCATTCTTATGGATTCTCTTTTCTAATAAAAACAATAACACTTGTAAAAACTATCCCTTATTATATAAGAGTAAATGAAATTTCTCTCTTTTTTCCTAAACATCTTCTGAATATTTCCTTACAAACAAAAATATGGACTCTTTATGTGATCCCTTACTAACCTTAAGTTCGACGAAATTGTGAAAATAACATGTATTAACACGAAGGGTGGTGAACTCATAAAAGGAATGTGTGGAGACATAGAATTGATCAATTAGTAGAAGACTTTATCTCTCAAACTCTTTGATCAATTCAAATTCTTTTACAAGCAAAGAAATGCTAATTGTGTTTGACTAATTCTTTGTACTTGATATGTCATAATTTAATTATCTATCTCTTATGACTAATTAATCAAAATCCAACGTAATCTTTGAACAGATCAAATGGAATTAAGTTGACAATATGATTTTCCAGCACTATAAATACCACAATTTGAATTGTTTGTTTCCACCACAAGAAATCAACAGAAAATAAGAGCTATGGCAAAACACACTACTTTTCTCGCCCTCCTCCTTTGCCTCTTCCTTGTTGCTGCAACTGGTAAGTCGACATAATTCTATATCCTATCAAATATAATGATTTGTTGAAGGTTTACGAATTTTAAAAATATTCATTTTTAATGTAAACTTTATGACTAGTCAAATATGTTCGATAAGTGAAATTTCCTGTCTCAAGTACATACCATGAGGTTTTCAATTTTTCTCATTTTTGCAGAAATACAAATGGCAGAAGGGAAATATTGTTGGAAAAAAAGTGGCAAGTGGAATGGGCCTTGTCAATACTCTTACAAATGCAGTCATCATTGCAAGTACTACTATGGAGCTAAATATGGTATTTGTAAGAAGTACAAACCATGGGGTCACAAATATTACTGGGCAAAATATGCTTGTTACTGCTACTCACCTTGCCATTACTAATCAACTTCAATATCGTGTGTCTTGGATTTGACTATGTAAACAAATAATTAAGAAGCTATCAGCTATTTTATGTGTGTAACAATGTAATAAGGTTGATGAGTAAATGTATTATATGCTTTTTTATTAATAGTTTAGTACTAGTAAAACGTGTGTTGAACATTTGTACCTTATAATTATTATAATTAAAGCTTTTATATCTTTATAACATTGAGTTCAAAAACAGAAAATGTTACCAATATAAATTTTACTATTTACATTTTAATCATTAAGTAAGATACATACTAGTGGTACGGTGCATTTGCCATAAAAAAAATCCTCTTAAAGCATTTTTTCATGTCATCATATATACTATAGTATTGAACAAAGGTCAGTAAGTTGTAGCTTACCTCAAAGTTGAACATGCATACTCCAAATTTATTAGAATGGGGTTTTTACTGTCCGAGCTACCTCTAAAAGATGTCACACTATCAAATTAGTAATCTACAATTCAACACTAGCGAATCGATACCCATATCGCCATAAATCTTGGGCCAAAAATTGGGTACAAAGGCTAAAAAAAAGTGTAAAACTATGTTACTTCAACAAATTAGACTCCACATTTCAAACTCAACTAAAATGTCAAAACTTCCAATGATATTCGTCTCAACAAAAAGTGGCTCCCACAACCAAGTACTCTATTTTACCAAAAAGTTACAAGGTAGCTCGAAATAAGCCTAGGAACCTTGGGATCCAAACCAAAGATCCATCTAGAACAAAATCTATATTTTAGAGCTACAACACAACCATCTGAATTTTATTTCAAGGTCGTTTACCCGAAGGCCTGACCAAAGTCAAACATCTAAACTTCAGGCACCCAATAACACAAAAACCAAACAACTTGCCTAGTGAGTACTACAAAAGCTCTAAACATTGAAAACACTGAAATATAGAGAAAGTTGTTAGGATCGAATCCACACACACACTTGATGAATTAAGAACACAAGAACTTTCAAGAGAAAGAGATGAGAGATCTAGAGAGAGAAAGAGAGAAACCAATATTTCGTGGTAACACCCAGTGAGTAAACTTCCACGGCGGTGGGTATATATATTAATAATTCAGAGTATTTTAGATTACTGAGAATAAATATTGCAGCCTAAACATTAATATGTGACAGTACATCAAATATTAATCAGGCTTTACAACCTAACAAAAATGTGCTAGAGGGTCATTACACGTCTGTCCATCGATATTGACTTGTTTTTAGTACTTAGTGCAAGAGTGCAAGAACGATAATTATTTGAGGAATTAAATGGTTAATGGACTATACCCATGAAGCAAGGAACTAGTGTTCAACATTAAAATATTGTTCCAAAGACATTAATTATAAGGATGCAAAATTGATCAATTAGTAGAAGACTTTATCACTCTTTGATCCATTCAAATTATTCTTTACAATTAAAGGAATGCTTATTGTGATGGACTAATTCTTTGTAATTGATGTGTCATAATTTAATTATCCATCTCTTATGACTAATTAATCAAAATCCAACGTAATCCTTGAACAAATCAAATGGAATTAAGTTGACAATATGAGTTTCCAACACTATAAATACCATCATTTCAATTGTTTGTTTCATCACCAAGAAATCAACATAAAATAAAAGCTATGGCAAAGTACACTGGTTTTCTTGCCCTCCTCATTTGCCTCTTCCTTGTTGCTGCAACTGGTGAGTCGACATGATTCTATACCTACCAAATATATAATGATTTGTTTGAGATTACAAATTTTTTAAATATTTATTTTTATTAAAATTTCTGACTATATGTCAAATAAAATGAAACGGGACAGTGTTATTAGGAAATTTTGAGAAAAACTCTATCTCAAGTACATATTATGAGTTTCCAACTTTAATTTTTTCATTGTTGCAGAAATACAAATGGTAGAAGGAAAATACTGTTGGAAAAAGAGTGGCAAGTGGAATGGACCTTGTCAATACTCTTACAAATGTAGCTATCATTGCAAGCACTACTATGGAGCTAAATATGGTATATGTAAGAAGTATAAACCATGGGGTCACAAATATTACTGGGCTAAATATGCTTGCTACTGCTACTCACCTTGCCACTACTAAGAATATTTCACTATCTCTTGGCTTGGCTTTGACTATGTAAACAAATAATTAAGAAGCTACCTATTTTATGTGTGTAACAATGTAATAAGGCTGATTTGGTGCAACTACTTTGGCCAAGCTTTGAGTGATGATTAAATGTATTGTGTATATTTTTCAATGAGTATTAATTGATGTGAACTATGATATTTTCTATATAAATATTTATTGTGTAAAGTACCACGCAAAGGCTAAGACAAAATTAATAATTACTACATGACTTGATATACATGTGTAATGTCGTGCGGAGAAATTTGTTGACAAAACATAGGGACGATAGAAACAACAATAACATACGAGTGAGGACCCACAATTTGGGTATGGGAAGATAGGGTTTACGCAAATTTTATCATTACCTCGTGGCAGTAGAGATATTGTTTTCAAAAGACCCTCGACTTAAATGCAACAAATTCAAGTACAAAAAAGAAAAAAAAGAACGCAGAAACCATAGCAACTAAACAGTGCAAAGTCCACAAGAATGAAACAAGAGAAATAAAATATATATAGTAATATAATCAAAACATTGTAAACAACATATGGTGATAGATATCCAAAGAAAAAATGATAATATATGGTTAGTATAGCCACAAACAACAAAATGCCTAATCCATCAAAGATCAAGACAATAACTCCAAATCTATTAACTTTCTACCTTAATATATGTGACCTCCACACCCTCCTATCTAATGTCATGTCTGTTGACACCCAATTTTGACCATCTCCGATAGAAATTAATTCATGAGCTTCTTAAATTTTCCAAGCAATTTAAAATAATTAGTTTTATAAATTTTTAAGAAAAAAAATAAAGTTTGTGTTATTTTGAATAGTTTTGTCATTTCTTATAACTTTTGAATAATATATATATTTTACATAATTATGTATATAATTAGTATATTTTATGATTATTCAAAAAACCATCTCAAAAATATTTTAATTTTAGTAAGTATTCTATTTAGCTAATATAGTTTAAATTATGGTTACATTTTGAACCACTATTTTATAATTTAAATGATTATATTACTAAATTAAAGAAGCTCGTTGATTAATTAATACAAATTCGTTTTATTTAAGGTTTAGCCGAATTTATTATCTTAACTCAATTTGGCTATTTATCAAATTTAACCCATTCTTTAAATCCATCAAAAGATCTTAGTTTTGGGCCATTTACACACTCCCTTTAATTTCCAGGCCCATTTGTATTTCTTCTTCTCTCAGCCCACTTCAGCAACCCAACACTTCTCCCAAACCCCAAGCCTAATAAATTTCCAGCCCACCTCATTCCCTTCCAGGCCCACTTTATTTTCAGACACCCAGGCCCAATTACATAGCCCATTCCGTTTTAATTAATTCCCAACCCAATTCCCTTTTTCCCTTTCCCTCCAACCTTACCCC